TTAGTGTTTCTTGTGCGTGTTAATAGCATGTTGCACGCTGTCTTGTGGTGCGCGATAGAAATCTCCTTGCTGCCATGATAAAGTCAGCAGTAGGTTCTGGGTCATTCCTTCAATTCTCCTCCTCCTCTTTTCTTCCTTTTCTTTCCTTCTACCTCCTCCCCTTCCCTCACATTTCTTTCTGTGCTGGAATGTGGGTCCCATCTGAGCTTGCCCTCTACAGAAATGAGGGATTGGAAGCCGTTCACTTGGCCACAAGAGACCAATGTCCTCGGTAGCCCCATGTCTTCAGAATGCCAGGTAATCTGTAGGATCCTGCTCTGATTTAAATGGTGCTCTGATGTAAATGGTGCTACTCTTTTGTATGTTACTAGTCAGGGGGCTCGAACTCAGGACCCAGGGGCTGTTCCTAAGCTTTAGAGCTCAAGGCTAACGCTCTACCACTTGAGCCACAGCTCCACTTCCAGCCTTTTGGTGGTTCATTGGAGATAAGAGTCTCTCAGACTTAACTTTCTCACTAGCTGGCTTTGCACCACAATCCTCCAATAAGGTAAACATTTAGAATAGCCATATTTAATTATTTTTTAAAAAAAAACCTCTGAATGAATTGCAGCTTATAATAATAATGTTAACATTATTATAGCATTAAGATTATGTTAGCAAAGTTTTATTTGAGAGAATTTACTGTACAAAGCTGCTATATAAAGTATACTTGTGCAGTTGTACAAGAGAACAAGGAAATATCTACACAATGGAAGCAAAGGGTTCTTATTGAACATAAATACCAATAGGAATGAAGTTACCAAGAGTAATGGCATTGCACGAGTAAATATGAAGCCTTTGAGGTCTAGAATAAATTGAAAACCACAGCTTGACTGTCCACCAAGGTATCAGGATAATCAATTCAAGTATTTATTCTGTGTTCTAAACATAATAGGGGAAAATAAATGAAAAAGTAAACAAACTCCAGGCAATAGAACAAAAAGAAAGTAGTAATACAACATTATTAAAACATAGCACAAAGATACAGTAATTAAAGCAGAATGGTCATAGAACATGATAGGCAAGCCCATCTATCCATACCAGAAATGTGAAGCCAATTTCTGATATTTCTGGGTTCTTTTTCTATTTCTGTTTGGGGATGGAGAGAGAGGAGAGAAAGGATAATGAATGACAACTTACATCAACTACATGGTGTTGATGAGCAGGTATGGCATAAGGAAACGTACTAGAACTTACTAGAACTGCTGAACAATGAAGAGTTGGGGAGAGAGCTGGGTGTCAGTGGCTCCCGCCTGGCATCCCGGCGACTCAGGAGGCTGAGATCTGAGGATTGCGGTTCAAAGCCAGCCTGCGCAGGAAAGTCCGTGAGACTCTGATCTCCCATGAACCACCAGAAAACCAGAAGTGGAGCTGTGGCTCAAGTGGTAGAGAGCCAGCCTTGAGCTGAAGAGCTGAGGGACAGCAGTCAGGCCCGGAGTTCAAGCTCCAACCCGACCAAATAAAAATAAAGAAAGAGTTGGAAAGAGCAATAGATGAAACTGTGAGTAAATTTCAATATACACATGTGAATTACCAGTTACAGTTAGAATAGACTGGGGTGGGGGTGGGGACAAACGACAGGGACAGTTGTTGAGCTGGGAGGAAAACGGATTGGTGGAGCAGGATGAATGTGTTCAGCGTACGTTATGTGTCCGCATGAACACAGATCAGAATAACCTGCTGAAAGTTTTTAAAGAAGAGGGGATGAGAAGATAAGATGGAGGAGGTGAACTTGATTAGGGTACATCCCCTGTGTGTATGGCTTCATGCTCAAGGCTGGTGCTCCACCACCTGAGCCATACCTCCAGTCTGGCTTTCTGTGGATTCATTGGAAAGAAGAGCCTCTAGGACTTCCTTGCCATGGGGTGTGTTTGAACCCCAATCCTCAGATCTCAGCCTCCTAAGGAGATACGATTATAGGCGTGAGCTTACAGCGCGTGGCTGTGGACGTCATTTTCTCAACTCTTCACGTGTCTGAACTATGAATATCTCTTAGAAACCATGGATAGGTTTATGTTTGATGTGAGGATCTTTTTCTCCTTTGTGCCAAAGTGCTCTTATTAAATTTATGGTGCATTTTACAACCAGAGGCGCTTCGGAGAGGAGCAGATGTGCTGTATAAAATAAAACTCCAGGAATAAGTTGCAGGGAATATAAAGAATATATAATAGATGACCACATCTCCCTGGCCAAGGCGACAAGCAAAAGCTTGTTACAGTGCTGTGTCCCCCTTGTCGACCAGAGCCAACCCCATTCCATTTGATCTTAGCATGTCGGCCTCTTATTTTAGATCTTTGATTCCCTACCTGATTGTTCATCCGCTGCTTCTGTGCTTTCCCCATTAGGGTCTCCTTGCTTTCTTTAACTGTGTTCCACAATGCCGACTGGAATGAGGCAAACCTTCAGTCCTCACCTTAAGACCCTGTGTATTCCTGTAGTTCTCATCAGTTCCTCTTTGCCCCTGTGACAGAAAGAGGTTTAAAGCTCTTTGTGTGTGTGTGTGTGTGTGTGTGTGTGTGTGTGCAAAAAATAAAAACAAAAACGAATCCCAGTTTGGAGTCCTCCAGGAAGCAGATCTACCATGCGTGCAGTCTCTGCCTCCCAGACCCCTTCCTTCCTACTGTACCTCCTTCCCTCAGTGCACTCTTCCCCAACCAGAAATCTTGGAAATAGCTCACAGGTTTACTTTGGAAGATGAGGCCAGATGAGTTCAGGTTTTGATCGAGAAATAATCTTTTATTGGAAGGAAGAGTCAGCCCCAGGTATTTTTTTTAACGTGGTGGTTGTTTTGTTTTGTTGATGATGAGAAATGGTAAGAACTCGTAAGACTCGAGGTACTTACAGTATGCCAAAGTGCTGTGTGGATTCGTCTGAATGAATCTGTAATCATTTTGTCTGTTGAGGTCACTGGCTTTGTAAAATCCCAGCAACCCCTGCTATAACTGAAGCTTCCTGTGAAGGTGGAAACTGAGTTTGAGGACTTAAAAAAAAGTTATGATACTTCAGTGCCTAGCTTAGTTTCTTGTACGTGGTATACATTTATTCAATGTCTGCTAAATAGCTAAATTAATGTGTGGCAGGCTTAGTGAAGAGGAACTGTGTCAGATATGATCTTTAATATATTCCTTGATTTTCATCCGTATACCCTGTGACAGATGTTAGCCAGTAATCACGTTCACAAAGCAGATCTTTTCATAGATTTACTTGAAAAGAATAATCATGGGTATGGGTATCATAGCTAATGACCACTTCAGCATACTCGACGATGAGGACATTAGGTTTGTTTCTTACACAGTCCACAGAAGGCAGAGCTCCCATCCTAGTTTATTTGCTAGCTGGTTTGAAGCCCATATATGAGAACAGAACCAGATAATTAGAACGTAATCCAAAAGCGACAGGGAACGCGGAGATTGTATAGTTCCCGAGTCATTCAGTTGGTTTGCAAACACCAAACAAGAATGGAGAGAGACTGGATTTGAGGCCCTGGGCCTACTCATTCTCTAGCTATGAGAAGGAACTCAGTTCTTGTTGGTACCAGCCACTGCTTCTTAAAGGACTTTTTTATTGTTGTCATAAAGGTGATGTACAGAGGGGTGACAGTTCCGTAAGTCAGATGATGAGCGTATCTCTTTTTGGACCATGTCCCCCCATTCCTCACTCTCTACCAGTTTTTCCCTCCCATCCCCTCCCACAAGTTGAAGAGTTGATTTTCCACATGGGGTCCAGTGAGGGCCATGGGTGCATTTGTGCGCCCTCTGTTCCCCCATTTCTGTGCCCCCCTCACCCTCCCAGAGACAAATAAGTGACCAAACAGAGCAAAAAGAAAACAAAACAAAAACAGCAAAAAGAGAAAAAGAAAAAAGCCTCTTGTTTCCATCTTCTGGAGATCATTTCGATAAATATCATTTTGGATGATCAGAGGTACAGAGGCCTTGTTTTTATGTTCCTCTCCTAATAGAATTCCCCTTTGGCCTCACAGTGTGTGAATGCCTAGAGTCCTGTATCATTTATTATGGCCCCCTCTAATTTAGATCTCGCTGTGACAGATGAGAGAAAACATGCACTGTTGGTCACCCAGAGCTTGGCTTACCTCACTTAACATGATTTGTCTTAGGTCCATCCATTTCCCTGAAAATGGCATCTTATTATTCTTTCTACTGGCTATGTAAAATTCTATTGTGTAAACACACATTTTGTCATCCAATCCTCTATTGTGGGGAATCTGGGCTGTCTCCGTATCTTGGCTATCGTGAATAGTACAGCAATGAACATGGCTGCGCAGGTGTCTTCATCATATCCTGGCTTATTATGTTCAGGGTGGGTGCCCAGGAGTGGTATGGCGGGGACATGGGGGAGACCTGGGTTTCGTTTGTTTGAGGAACCTCCAGACTGCTGTCCAGAGTGCTCGTACTAGTTTACGTTCCCACCAAACCAGTCACTTCGTCACCCAAAGAAGGGGAAAGTCGTCATTGTTGCATAGGTTTTCTTCTGGCTTGTTATTCAAGATTGTTAAGACTTACTCTATGAGTGTGAGAGTTCTATCTTCTGATAGTGAAGTTATCCATAGGATACCAGTTTAGTTTTCATCTCATAAAAAAGGAATTTGTGCTGTGGCCGGGAGATAAAATGGTGGTGTTGGATGGGGGGTGCGGGGAGAGCGGAATGTGAAAAGGGGTGACGTGAATCAAGATGCATTGTATTCATCCACTACTTTGTGAAAAAACAATTCCTCTGTACAACTACTTAAAGATAATAACAAGAAGAAAGAATCCATCCTAACAGATGTTAATTCCGGAGATACACTTCACTTCATTGCCACCTACTCATCATTTTTTGAGCCCTTAACTTTGGTGGAATAACTTAATGTCATTGAATTTTCCTTGAACCATAAACTGAAGGAGGGTGGAAGAGTGAAAGATCTGGAAACTTCTGCTCTTGATTCTCTCTGTCTCGTTCAGCAGGTTCAAGGTCAATTGCCGCCCTTAATGATCCCCGTGTTCCCTCCGGATCAAAGGACTCTGGCTGCAGCCGCCCAGCAAGGATTCCTCCTCCCTCCGGGCTTCAGCTACAAGGCCGGATGCAGTAAGTCCCCCCCCCGCCCCGGGCTGGGCCACTAGGGAAGGGTGGAGAGCGTGGGGTCTGGAGACTGGGCTGGGTTACCAGAAGGCCACACCAAGATGGCGGCAGAAAGGACGTGTGTTGGTGTTTCTAGTAACAGCCTGTGGATTATTCTTGTGCTTCGAAAACCATGATTTGCACTACATAAATTCACTTCTTTATCTTTGGTTTCCATACTATACTAAAACTGAATGCAATTGGAGGGTTTATTTTACTTCTTTATGATGTATTTATTTATGCGGAGGTACAATGGGAACTTGGTTTTTTAATTCTCTTATCCTTAAGTAGTTGTACAGTATATCTAGATCAGAGCCACCCCTTTCAACGTTCTCACCCATCCCTCCCCTAACCCTCCCCTTTGTGTTTAAAGAAGTTTCTATTACCCAGAAAGATACATCTAGATTCCTGAACTTGTTGACCCTCCACCATTTTGCTCCTCCCTGTTCACGCGGCTCAGTTTCTCATTAGTCTTCTCTTCATTTTTTTTTTTTGTTCGTTGTGTAGGGATTTTTGTTGTTGTTGTTGTTGATTGTGGGACTTGAACTCATGGCCTTAACACTGTCCCTGAGCTCTTTCACTCTAGGCTAATGCTCTACCACTTGAGCCACAGCTCCACTTCTGGTTTTCTGGTGGTTCATTGGAGATCAGAGTCTCATGGGCTTTCCTGCTGGGGCTGGCTTTGAACTGTGATCCTCAGGTCTCAGCCTCCTGAGTAGCTAGGATGACAGGTGTGAGCCACCTACACCTACGTGGTTTATTCTTGACTTTTATGCTCAGTCTGGGGCTTGAATCCAGGGCCTGGGTGCTGTCCCTGAGCTTTTGTGCTTAAGGCTAGCGCTCTACCGTTGGAGCCACATCTCCTTTTGGGCTTTTTTTTCCTCTGGATAATTGGAAATCAGTGTCTTGTGAATGTTCTTTACCTGGCTTCGTGGGAACTTCAAACCCCAGATTTAAGCTTCTGAGTAGCTGAGATTATAGGTGTGAGTCATGGCGCCTGGCTTCTCTTGGTTTCGTTGTTAAGTGAACCTTGAACGCTGTCTGCCTCGCAGTTCATTGGTCATCCGCCGTTCCCCAAATCACTTCCAATTCCACTGTGTGTCCTGCGTCCTCCTCCTGGGTCCAGAGTCTTGAATGTTTCTCCTTTGATTTTAGTTTTAAGCTTGGAAAGGAGTGTAGAGGAATCCATCTAAATGCATTGTAGTGTTTCAGCTTCCAGAACACCCTCAACCAATTTTGAGTGAATGACATTTTTCACCAATAGATGATCATTTTTGATGTGATCATGATACCCCTTCATGCTCCGTGTAAACAGGTAACTGTTAATGTTGTGGACTCACTTACATGCTCTATGACTTCGCATCTTTTCCTTCTTTCTTAAGCCGAAAACTAACTCGTCCACTGATAGTTTGAGTAGTAATCTGAAAGCTCATATAGCCAGCATGCCGTCTGTATTCTACGAAGGGAAAAACTTGGAGCACAAATGTCAAAGACAGGCTGAGAACTTGGAAGCCAAATGACTTCTGAAGCATCATAACTCTGATCAAATCACAAATATAGAAAAAACAAGGCCTAAGAAACAACTTTCATTGATAAAAGTAGAATGCCCCTAACAAATCGGTGAAATGATCATTTAGCTATTCATGTGGAATAGTATTTAAGCCAAATCCCACTTCTGTATCTGCTATTAATTTCTCTCATTTGCATCATGAGTAACGGCTGCCTTTGAGAAATTGTACTCAACCATACTGCAAAGCAATTTCACTTTTCCCTTTTAGGTTATATTTTGAATTTTCTCGTCCTGGATTTTAACATTTGTCCTTAATCTTTTAACATTTCTCTATGTTCTCTTGAAGAAATGGTTATAATTTTTAAAATAAATTTATTTGATATAAGTCGATTATAACTCTGGAGTTCTAATAAAAGTGATTAGAATTGAGGAGTATATAATTGAGCAAACAGGTGGCTCAGGCCTCGAATCTAAGCTACTCAGAAGCCTGAGATCTGAGGATGCAGGTTTGAAGGCAGCCTAAGGAAGGAAAATCTGTAAGACTCCTGTTTTTATTTATCTACCCAAAGCATCTAAAAATGGAGCTGTGGCTTAAGTGGTTGAGTGCCAGCCTTGAGCTAAAAAGCTCAGGTAAAGCACAAAGGTCCTGAGTTCAAGCCCCAGGACTAGCAAATGCACCAAAAATGTATTAGTACTTGCTTGATACTTTGTTCTCTGGAGTTTTTCTATTGTTTTGGTGAATACTTTTGTGGATCTGGATTTCCTGTGTTTTAAGATGGAATTCTCAGTCCTAGCTCTTAGCCCACTCATCAGATATGCCAAATTCTGGGGTTTTCATCATGAAATTCCTTCTATCTTCCTTGTGAACCTTGGTTACTAGAATGAAAAATAAAGCACTTGAAGAAGCAATTGTTGTCTCAAACAATACCTGCAGTTTATACATAGTCTATCTAGTTCTCTCTTCTCTCTTCTCTGTGTCTCTGTGTCTGTCTTTTCTGTCTGTCTGTCTGTCTCTCTTCTCCTACCCCCCCCCCCCCCCGCCGCAAGCATTTGTAGAAATATAAGTCCTATTTACAACATCAGGGCTAAAGAGCAACCCAGAGCAAGTGTGAGGCTAGCATAACCGTGCACCTGGAAAAGGTCAAGAGTCCACCCTTCCCTGACTCACATTGGACAGACAGACAGACAGACTGCCTACGGAAACGTACTCAATCTTCATGCAACATGGCACAGAGAGACTGTTCCCCTCCCTCACTGTGCTGCCGGTTTTCAGCATATATTACCCATAGTGGACCTGAAGCGCCTCCATGACCAGCCAGGGCACTTCCTTTATACCCTTGGAAATAAAGCAGAAGAGAGCTCTTCCCACCACTGGGGCAGCCTTGAAACCAGCGTTGTGCCAGACGCTGGAACCACGCAGAAACTCCCAGGCCTGCTGACGCTGTAGCGTTTGGATTGGGTTTAGAGGAGGAGCTGGGCGGATGAGCCCCCTCTCAGCAGCCAGCCAGCCGTTCTGCCTCTTCCCCCCGCCGGGCCCGGCCGCCATCTCCTCGCCGCCTCTGGAAGCCACATGCTTTCAGTCTAGTGACGCGAAGTTGTTCTCAATGGACAGGATTTGTGTCGAGCGACACTGACTGAAGAAAAGAAATGTACTCATGATCTGACTTTTGAAATGGTAACCCCTCTACCCAACACCTTAATAATGACAATGACATTGTATTGAAAGACAGGAGCCAGTGCCTCACGCCTGTCACCATAGCTACTCAGGAGGATGAGATCTGAGGATTGCAGTTTGAAGCCAGCCCAGGAAGAAAAGTCGACAAGACTCTTACCTCCAGTAAACCACTCAGAAAGAGCCGATAGTGGAGCTGTGGCTCAGTGGGAGAGCACAAAGAGGCTAAGGGACAGCACCCAGGCCCCGAGTTCAAGACCCAGAACTGGCAATAATAACAATAACAATAATAATTTGAAAAAATGATTGGCATTCTGATTTATCGTTAAGTAAAAGTGACAGACTACTTATATCAAAAGCCAGGAGTTTTTCACCGATCTATCCATACAGTACACTAAGGAAAACATTACTTTTCCTTAGTCTCTTCCTTTTCTCTTCTTTAGTCTCTGTGTCTTGATAAGTATGTCAAACCAAGGAAAACCTTTAGAGCTAAATATGAGATGCTAAGTGTTCCAAGGACAGAAATATACGTAAATAAACTTACACGCATCATTTGGAGACCCCAGCTATGAGCTGGAACATCTTATTTCCTTTCCTTTATGAAATACAATGGGAGAAAAATATGGGGTGCTGTGCAGATACATAAAATACTCCTTTTTTAAGATGTTTTTCTTGATCGCTAGAATACATCTCACTAAGCCACATTGGGGTAACGTTATAGCCTCACAACCATATACTTGAAAGAAAACCAACGAGATTTCAACCAAAGGAGCTTCTGAGAATGCGGTGGTCTCCCTCCTACTAGTCGCTGTGGATATCCATCCACAAATACTGAGAAATCATGACTCAAATCTCAGATTCTTTTTAGCTACTTGTCATTATGGACATCAGGGACAAAGACGTATATCTTCATGAGTCTGTTACTCTTCTTTCTTAGTAAATTGTGCTTTTTGTCCAGTGAAAGTCATAAGAAAGACGTTAGAAAAGTTTATTAGGAAAAGAATATATTTCCAATATATTCTTTAGCAATGAGTGGGTTATGTCTAACCCAGTAATGGCTCTGTGTGTGTGTGTGTGTGTGTGTGCGCGCGCGCGCACGTGCACGAACAAGTTGCACGTGATGATTGTACTGTTTGAAGTCAGGGCCTGGTCTCTACCCCTGAGATGTTCTTTCTTCTTGGTTGGTCGTGGGACTTGAACTCAGGGCCTGGGCACCGTCCCTCAGCTCTTTCACTCAAAGCTAGCGCTCTACCACTTTGAGCTTCTGGTGTTTGAGTGGTTCATTGGAAGTAAGAGTCCGATGGGTCTTTCCTTCCCTGGGCTGGCTTCGAACCATGATCCTCAGATCTCAGACTCCTGAGTGGTTGGAATGACAGGCCTGAGCCACTAGCAGCCGGTAAGCTTTTCTTTTTTTCTTTTTTCTTTTTTTGACTAAAGGCTAGTTCTCTGTCACTTGAGTCACCTAATTCCTGGCTTTTTCTAGTGGTTCATTGGCAATAATCATCTGATGGACTTTCCTCCCTGGACTACTTTAGAACCATAACCCTCCAATCTCAGCCTCCTCAGTAGTGAGGATTATGGGCATGAGGCCCTAGTGCCCAGCCCTTCTTAAGTCTGAATTCTTGTAAACATGTTAGAATGTAAAAATGATGATACATTAATGAATGGTGTATGTGTGTATATAGTGTTCTCTACAGAGAGTATTCTATTTGAATCTGTATTCATATGTCTGTCTATAACATATATACACATCCATGTCGGCTCATATATGTGCTTTTGCATTAT